TCACTTTTAGGAATAAGTGGCCTGTAGTGGTAAAGATCTGATTATGCTGATGGGGTCGCAAAGTCAATCTAATTAATTTAGCTTATTCTAAATCTTCAGTCCCTTTAGGCTGAAAACAAAACTGTAGTGAGTTGTAAGATCACTGTGGTTAGTCAGTGGGTAGTCATGATCCTTGTTGGGGGGAAACCCTCAAAGAATTGAGGGAAAGGATGTCAGTCAGGTTTAAAACACCATGTAGATTTTTCTGCAAATGCTTACTTTTATTTGAGAAGAAATTATGTGGTACAGCCCTTAGATAATGTTTTGATGGGTTCGATTAGCTGCTGGCACAGATAAAGGGACTGAGTCATGAATCTTTCTGATCTGTTAAAATACGCATTTTGTGCAAGAACAAAGAAGCTCTAATACTGTTGTTGATGTCTTTGAAATCTAACACAAAAATGGGTCTTTTCAATCTTTTTGAAATTGCAAATTTCATATAGTAGGCAAGAAGTAGAATAATTTGAGTAACTCCTGAACATTTTGTAATAGTTTTAATAAGGTGTTACAAAGAAAATAATGTTAAAAAATCTAAATTAAATAATTCATATAATTACACATACTTTGCTCTGTTCAATAAAAAAGTATTTTGAATAACTGAACCCAAATCTGGTTGATTTTTGTAGTACAAACTTATTTTTGAAAGTACATAGGTTATACATGGTAATGCAGTTTTTACTTCTCGGCTGTAAAATTTAAGATGCATTTGGCTTATATTAGGTAAATTTAACACTTTAAATTGTTCAGCTGTTAAGGGTTTCTTCACAGTTCAATATCAACAGCTTGTAATAAGAGAAGAAGGAAAAAAACCAAGAAAGCAACCCCCACAGAAAAACAACTCTCCAAACTCAAATTATTACATATGTTGTAATAGAAAGGGTTGGTCTTGCTTCTTGGGTGTCTAGGCTTTTATGAGTTAGTTTCTTTATCTTATTTGAAATTCAGAATTATTCAGAAGTAGTGGCTTGAATACCTGGGGTTTTAATCCAGGTGCATTTCTGTTAACAAACAAACAAAAAACAACAACAAAAAGAATACCCTCCCTCCCCCAAACCCCAACCAACCGAAAACTGAAACAAAACGAAAAAATAACCCCCAAACAAACAATCCCCCAAAAAACCAAACAACCCCAAAACAAAATAAAACCCCAAACCAACCAACCAAACAAACAAAAAAAACAACAAAAAAACCCCAAACTGTTTGTGATGCCACAAAATATAGTTCATGTTTAGAAATCCTGTTTAGGGGTAGAGATGCTGCATACTCACATTAAAAGCCTTGCTTACACCCTTCTTCTAACCAGAAAAGTGATAGTTATCACTGAGCCTTCCTATCAATACTGTGATAACAGAATGGCTTAATTTATAATACCACATTACAAAAACATAATCCAGAAAATGAAGCACACATTTTGAAACAGTAACAGTGGAAGTCTGATTCGGCATTTTTGGAACAGCTCCCATTGCTGCCTTAACCTTTCAAACAAGCCCTTAAACATACTTGCTTGCAATTTTGCAAAATGATGAATACAGTTAGCTTTTTATATAGAGAAACTTGATGTTCAGCACTTTAAAGGGCTTGCTCTTTACTACTTAATTTGCATAATTTGGTAATTGGTAGTGTGTCTTGCCATCTGTAGGAAAAACAGTAGAGTTTCCACAAAATATGTATGTATATCTATAAAAAAGCACATAGAAATCAATCCTGTAAGTCTAGACTACGTATTTGAAATGTACCATATGTAGTTGAATAAACCCATTTTTAACATTCTTTTGTGTTAATGGATTTGATTAAAATGTTATGCCTGCTTAATTAGCTTCACAGACTTGCATTTCAGTATTTTCAAGATGTCTGCAAAGGTTTATGTTGACCACTTCAACAGAAGATAAAAATATGTTTTTTCCTTGTGGTCACTAATATAACTCAAATTGCATTAATTGAAATATATTTACAAACGCAATTTTTTTAAAATTTTTCAATAAAATCCGATCATTTTAAAAAATAAAATTTTATTTCTGCATAAATGTACATGGAGTATAGTACAATGTTTTAATATGAGGTCTGTGGTCTACTTTGTAAGAAAATGTTCAAGTGAGGATTCTGTGTGTTGTGAATCTAGATTTTCTGAAGATGTCTGGCTCAGCTTCTAAAGATGTTGTATTTCATGCTTCAGTTGCATTTCAGAGAGAAAAGAAACATGGTATGTCTAAAGTCAAGATAATATTTTTATTTGTATGGGCAGTCTTTACATTTTGCTCAACTAGTAATTCATAAAGGAAGACAAAGGTTTTGACAAATACTTTTTATTTGTTCCTTACACAGACAAAAGAAGTTGGTTTACTTGATGCAGACATATATGGACCTTCAATTCCAAAGATGATGAACTTAAAAGGAAACCCAGAATTAACGCCAAGTAAGTGGAATTAATTTGTTTTTCTTGCCATCTTCTTTGTACATGGACGAGCATGGATCACTCATTGGTGCGGCACAAAGGGAATGCAGACAGAACATAAAGACTTAGAGTATTTGTTTTATGGTTTTTTTTAGTAATGAGGTTGCTTTCAACTAGCAGCATATTCAGTAGCTGGTTTTTTGTGGGGGGTTTGTGTGTGGTGGGTTTTTTTGTTTGTTTTTTTGTTTTGTTTTGTTTTTGTTTTTTTGGTTTTTTTGGTTTTTTTTATGTTGGTCCACAGGCTTTGGGAGTTTTGTGGCTTATTACTAGAGAAACTGTCAAATTGAGTACTTTCTAGATTGAAGTACCTGGCTTACAAATACAGGCTTTATTAAATTAATTTCTAAGAGAGGAGAATACTTGGTTTTATTTTTTTGGGTTTCTGTTTTGAAGTCAAAGGCTAATTATGTTGTGAATAAATAAATAAACGAACCCTCTCATGTATCGTCAGTAGAGTCTGACTTCCCTCATACAAACTGAAGTATTCTTGTGTTCTCTTGTACTTTGGACCCCATTGAAGGTATATGTCATACAGGCCGTGTTTTCCTGTAAAAGATTTTTTTGCCACGAATTTTCCATTTGAAGTGCATTATGCGATATGAATGCAAAAGGGACTATGTTGCGGTGTTCTTCATATCCCTCCTCTTTTAATGTCACCTTGTTTTTTTGCTTCCCAAAGGAGATGAGGTAAAAATGCAATTCTCCATTTATTTTTTTCCTCACTATCTGAAAAATTGATTATATAAATTTGAACTTCTTACACATTCTGCTGTGCATTTTATCAATCCATACAAAATTTAAATCCATGTCATGAGCCACAAATAAGCAAGTTGCCCAGTCTAGTTTACATGATCATACAAATTACCTTGCTAGGGAAGCAAGAACTTAAGAGTATGATCAGTCAGGTATTAGGGCAGCTCAGTTTTGTTTGTACATAAATTTCAGTTACTAGATATTTTGGGTATATAGCTGAGAATTCACCATAAGCTTTTGTCTTAACATGCTTCAAGTGTTAAAAATACACAGTTCAATGTAATAGAAAGAAATTGGAGGATTTCCCTGAATTTGAATTGGTGCTGTTGACTTGTAAGCACTAATGTTTTGATCACTAAGATGCATTCTTTCTACTTCTGTGTGGAATGTACAAGCAAATATTACCACCATTTAAGAACATTCCTTATTTTTTAACTGACAGAAGATGTATATGTATATTTCATATCTGAACACATTACACTAGTCTACTGAGGAACTCATGTAGTAATTCACTATGAATGATAACAAGATAGAATTTGAATTTCAGGAATTCTGTTCACTTCTCTGTGTGCTTTTAACTCTTGAGTTGCTGAAGCTGTAATGACAACAGTGCTGACAAAGTAGCTGACATGATTTCACTGTGAAAGTAGGAATTTGGAGGGCCCAGGAAGCTTTAATTGTGAACTTCCAGGATTCCTTTTAATGAGTGACAGAGAGGATAAGCTTGCAAGGAAGTGATCCATCATAGGTGTATGTGGGGGGTGTGTGTGTATATATATGTATAGGTGTATATATACATGTATAGGTATAAAAATATGTATGACCCTTGTATGTTGGTATAATGAGATTTAGTGTTATTTTCTAATTTCTTGCTACATTTTCAAGAATAAAACATAAACTCTGGACAAATAGTATTGTACAGAAATTGAGCAAAGCCAGGCAGTTCTGTGTTAAAGATGTGCATTAACAATGTATACATAACAATAAGTCAATTAAAACCTTTTTTTTTCTAATAGCATAGCAATCAAAAACTGTGTTTAACCTATTGCTGCATTCAGTGTGAGGCCTGGATTTGAAAATGAAACTGTGGAGTAATCCTTGGAGGTTCTCAGCACTCTTGCACTCTTTGATTTCTAGTTCTTTTCTCACATGTTTGCAGCTGAGAAGAGATTAGGGATGTTCAATACTATACAGAACAAATCCATGCAGCAATTATTACTTTTGAATAGAAATTATAGTTATGCTATAATTTAAGTTTTCAAAATGCATTAGGAGTTCTGAGTGAGGGGAGAGTTTGTATAAATGTAAGACACTGCATTAATTTAATTATGCAAACTGTAGTACATTGGAAAGTCTCTTAACGTTTAATAGGATGTAATTCAAAATACTATAACTAAATGGTCAGGGAAATACTGTTTAGTAAGTTCACAACTAAATTTAATTAGGTAATGGAGGATTATCTAACTATGGAATAAATACTAACATCAGATACAATATAGACACAGGGCAACACTTTTAACGCAAGTAACAAAAGCATTACTTCTATTCTTGCCCCAAATAATTTACTTAAAAACTGTTTTCTGGCTTAGTGAACTGTGTAATTTTTTTTTTTTTTTTTTTTTTAATCTGCCATTTAGACTAGCTAGCAGAGAGTAAAAGCTGTTATATTGCCAAGAAGACATTGCCGTTTTGCCAGATAAATTTAATATTTCTTTGCTTAATTTAAATGATGATGAAGGTTATGGTGCGCTTTTTTTTTTTTTATGACTGTTGAGTGCTCTCTTAATATTTCAAAGCTTTGTTGCCTTTTTGTGATATCCTTAGTGTCTTCTTTATTTCTTAATAAAATAGTATATTCAAAGGATCAGTAGTGGGCATCTGTGTTCCAAAATTGGAATAGAAAGTAATTTCTGAGAGAAAGCTAACAGTGGTTGTGGCTGCCCCATTAAGGCTGATAATGCTGCAGGGGCTATAGAAATTAAATTACTGATAAAATTCCGAAGTCATAAATGGACATTTTTTCACTGGGACACATTTACATGTCTGCTGCTCTTTAGACTATGATTGCTGAATCTTGCAACAGAAAGTGATAATTTGAAATAGCATCTGTTGAAAATTGCTTAAAGATGTCTGCTGAAAATATCAAGGGATTGTAGTGCATCTATTTGAGGGTTACAAATAGAAAATTTAGAGTGGACTACTTAAATAGAGGAAGTACAACGCAGCCTAGTTACTGAGGTAACCATGAAGAAGTTTCTTGATCTTACCTAAGGGTTTAATTTTAAACATACAGCTTGTATTCTCAAAGAATGTTGTCTTTGTCATGCTCTACCAGCAGAACTGCATCATGGTTAATTTGAAGAAAACCTAAATTTACTTCTTTCAGAAAAAATAGTATTTGCTGTTGCCATTACCTCTTGATTTGAGAACATATGATTTTTAGATTGTGTTTAGTCTAAGAATACGCTTTGCTTTGTTTTGGAAGAAGTCTGAACCGAAACCCCGTATTTTACTTTTGGTGATGCCTTAACACAGTTAATCAGGATGGCTGGAGTAGTCCCATGTCTTACATGTGACAAAATAGTAATTCAGAATGTTATAATTAGTTGTGGTTTATATTTTGGAAGCTCTTTCATGTGTGATGAGGTAGTTGAAAATGTGAAGAATACTAAGTGTTAAATATTTTATTCTGGGCTTGACTATTGCCCTCAAATCTGTAACAATTAACCTCAAACTCGATTAATTCAGCTATCGTTGAGTTCACTTGTGGAAAGAACTGTTGACCTTGGAAGGGAAAGGAGATGGAGGATACCGAGCTCTACAAGGAAGTATTTATAGGCATGCAGTTGTTAGCTGCTGCTTGAAAAAATCAAGAAATCCTCTGGACAGTTAATTTATTAAAATTTTATTCTTCATTATGCATAAATTCATGCTTACAATTACAAAAAAGTAAGGCAAAAAAGTATAGGATGAGAAATGTAGTGCAGTAATTAAAGTCTTTTACTGAGAGCAGTCTTTTTTGGATAAATGATAAATCAAATTTTACTAAATGCTGTTGCAGTATAAATTAGTGAAACACTGTAACCTGAAAAAAATACATTTCAAGTACTTGAAAGCGGAAGTGTACTCTTTGTGGTGTTAATCCCGGAGTGCAGTAATTATAAATTTTTTTAATATGGATTATGGCTAGCAAATACTCATTACATTATGAAGTTTACTCTTAAGAGATGCAGACTGTCTGGTTCAACTTTTATACAAATTGGAATTAAATTGCAAAATGCTTTTCTTACAGTAACATGATAGATACACATTTCATTGTATATTCATAAATGATAGAAATTATTTGTGTTTGTATATTGAACACATTTACCTTTATGCTTATTTCAGAGGAATACTCATTTCCATCCCTCTCTTCTGGTAGAAGTAAAATGAAATAGCTTTATCTAATTCTGAATTTTCGCAGTATTTTTACCTTGCAATGTCACTGCTACGTTCGTTGTTTTTTTTTTTTCCTTTGTGCATTTCTTGCTGTATCTTCCCTTTTTTGTTCTCCTTCTCTACAGTATGATGGAGTGGCTTTTCAGAACAAAGAAATGAAGTGGAATACGTCAAAAATAGAAAAAAATGTATTTCAGTTCTACGGAGGCTCAAAGTGACAGAGTTGAAAAGCTAGCATCAGTTTCCTTGGCTTTAGTTGATGGTCATGATTTTGTAAAGTACATAGAACTCCACTTTGCAAGGGGCGAAATTAGGATAAAATCACAGAAGGATGCATGAGGGAGTTCATGTGAAGTGCAAAAGGGAATATTTAATATACAAAGAAACACCTTTTTTTTTAAAGTGGAGGATCAACAAGTTTACTGTAGTTTTCATCTATGTTATCAGCGTCCAGGTATGCTTTGAAAGCAGTGTAAGTCCCTTGTTAACTGGAGTGGTTTTTGAAGTTAGATCTTGAACTGAATGTAATGCATAGGGAATGTGTGCCCCTCGGGTTCCTGCTTCTCCCTGTTCTGCTTTACAGTTGTCTGTGACACTGTTACGTGGCTGACCTGAGCAGTCCCCCTCTCACAGGAGCAAGTCAGTGCTTCAAATACCAAGAGCCTTCCCAGAGGTTTTGCATGTCAGGACAAAAGCCTCGAACTGAATGTTGTATTAGTCTATTTCATTCCTTGTGGGTATAATGAACTAAAAGAACACACCCAAATTAA